TATAAACTATACTTTTTATCAGATGCATTAGACACACCAATTATATACCCACATGTTAATCTTCCCAAGAACAGGCACTGCAATAAATTACAGATACAGAAGACTTTCATGGGAGGACATGGGGGAGAAGGCTTTCCAGGAGGAGAAGCCAGCAAGAATAAAGGTGTGAAGGCTGACAGGGTGTCTGGGGGATGAAGAATGAGCTGGCTTGATGGACTGTGGGCTGCTTGGGGCAGCACAGCGCTGGCATGAAGGGATGGAGGTGGGTCGGGGAGGACCTGCATGCCAGGCTCAGGAGTTTGTTTTAATCTAGTCTAGACCACAGGTGCCAACAGTGCCCCAAACAGACAGAGGGCAGGAGCCATGTTGTAGTATACAGGAAGTGAAAAATGAGGGCCACATCCAGGCTAGTGTCAACTGAAAGGAAAAGGGAGAACCGACTGAATGCGGACACTGGTGAGGCTGCAGCTGAACCAGAGGCTGGCCGTGAAGACCCAGGGAGGGAGAAGCCTCAACAACTGCAATGACACTTTTACCAGGGTGGGAAAGGCAGTGGGAAGACAGGACTGTGGGAGTAGTTTAACTTTCTGAGGTTGTAGCATTATTGCAGGAGCCTTGAGGAGATGGCCTCTCTCAATTCCCTTTGTCTGTCCCTCTTTCCTGGCCTCATTAAACCCTGCCTTGGGTGACTGTCCCGGGCATGTCACTCCTTGGAGGGGGCAGTGCAGGGAGTTTTATGTACTTGCCCTGCACAAACTAGAAGGCTCAGAACTGTGGTTAAATCAGTCTGTGAATCACATCTCTTCACATGACACAAGTTCTCATATGATATGAATGCAAATACTGTACATTTAAGGTGACAAAGCCTCCTATAAACTGCAAGGGTGTGAAATAATTTCGAGAGTGAATTCTCGTTCTCCATTGCTCATTCACCTGCTCTGGTGACACGGGGGCAACACACGCAGTGACCACTCATCGGTCACTACTATGTGAGGAGGGCAGGTTAGCTCTGAATCAAGTGAGAACAGCTCTCAACTCTGATAACCCCCAGTAGTCCACAAGGAAGCCCCACCATTTCCTTGGAACTCTGTCACAGCCTTAAAGGAGGAGGGGAACACCCCGAAGATGGGGGATAACTGTTGCCTAGAATTTAAAGTGAAGACTCTTTGAAAAGCCAACGGTGGGAGTGGAAAAATGCTACCTAGCGTTTGTAAATGCCTTATGCTATCGAAAGAAATGATCTACTATCCTGAAGTGTGCACTTGACTGAGTCTGCACTTACCAAGGCATTTAGAGAACTTTAAAACATTTTTTTCTTTAAAAAAAGGACACAGAGGAAGGTCAGTGGAACACTGTGGTACATGAATACAATATTATGTCAAATAGAAAATGCCAAGGAAATGTTCATATGTGGTGCTAGTAATGCTTTCTCCCAAGCTCTCAAAATTACCAAAGACAGCAAATCCATAAGCTGGGTGGAAGACAAATATTATCATCTTTCTTTAATACCTACCTGCATTAGACAATTTGCCTCTTTATATAAACACAAGAGACACAGTCCTCAAAAACAGGTTCAAAACTAGGTGAGAACAAATGACCCAAGAATTAATTAACTAAACAGAAGATTGAAATAAACCAAGGAAAAATTATCATATCAGAATAAAAGACAAGAAACACGATTAAATTAGACATCAAAAGACTCGTGAGAAACTCAGAAAAGGCATAATATGCACTTACCTGGTTTTTATTCTTTCATGATTTAATTTCGAGTTTTATTCACTACCATCTGATAATTGCATAAAACACTTATTCTAACCACGGGCAATTTAAACTATTCTAATTTTTATTTCAAGACCATGAGACAAAGGAAACTATTTATTGCCTAAGGGGCTTTTTCTTTTTTTCTTAACAAAAATTAAAGCTTAATCTTTCATGTTTTAAAGTCAAGACTATTTAAAATCATTTATGATAATGCTGTAGGGAGACTTTTTGTGGGTATGCGAAATTGAAATGATAAATTTACAATTATTAAAAAAAATTAATAGTTCTGGGGATTGAATTGTCCCTTTCCTTTCTAGATGAATTTGTCTGAAGCTTAAGAGATACACTTAAAAGCAGAGTAAACCCAAGGCCTGTGCAGGGTGACAGGATAAGGCTTCCATGTGCCTCACAGTGATCAGACTTGTGCGTGAAACAAATAGTAAGCCCAGTTTATTATTAATAAAAAAATATGTGATAGCACTGGCCTTAGGAACGGCTCTCGACCCCTTTTATTTTAGGGGAAACTGCCCTGATGAAGTGGTGAATCATGAATACTACTATTTTCTGTGGCTTTGAAAAAGTCCCTAATGGAAATTAGATAAATAATTTACTTTTACTTAAACACCAGAGTTTTTAGTTACACTTAAGAAAATAATTGAAATGTAGATTTAAGTCATTTCTGCTGGTACACTTCAGGATTCTAATGAAATACTTTCAGCTATTATGCAAAGCATTCCTCAATAGAGAAGAGAAAAATCACTTTCAATGATACCTCAGTATGCAGGATTTACTGAAGGGCAGAATGCCTCTTTGAGAGTTAAGGAAAGGACACTTTTCTAGTGGTGGTTTTTGCCTAGAACCGGAACAAGAAAAAGACACCTTGAACCACATTTTCTCTTTCACTATAGTTTCAGGAAAAAACTAGAAATGGCCAAATATGTTTAAAATTCCCTTCCAGCAAACACTCTGGCTGGCCATTTTCCTAGGCTGTTTGAGCACCCCACATTTTAAGACGGTTACAACAAATTCGTGACCCTCACCATACTGGATGGAGTGGACCTCACCTCTCCCTCCTCCGCCCCGACCCCCCTGCCCAGCCCTGTAGCACTCATCCTTACTGGCTGCCATCCTTCCAGGCCCCTCCTACCTTGCAGCCTGCACCCCTGTTTTGTCCTCTGCCCGAACACTACATGGTTTCCTTCATTTAGTTCGGGTTTCTGCCACCTTTTGAGAGAGGGATCGCCTCCTTCAATCCCCTTCCCCTCTCCACCTTATTCTGTTCAATTGCTCTTCACAGCCTGATCTATCACTTATCTCTCATACGCTCATTTGCTTACTGTCCGAGTTCCCCTGGTAAACTGCAAGAATCATGAGAGCAAGCCATGTGTCTGTTCTGTTCACTGCTGTGCCCCAGCCCCAGGACAGTGCCTAACGCTATCCGCTATCCAGTATTTATTGAATTACATTATCTACACTGATTAGTTTACATCTGCTTTTGCACTTAGCTTCTTAAACTGACAAGTCTTCTTCTGACTAAATGCACAATAAAAGGCATATATAATACTCTGTGCTGTTTTATTGTAATCATTTCACAGTCCTCATAGGGGAGGAAAAAATTCCTATTTAAGAAAAGACTTTTCAATCTGATTTATAAAACAAATAAAACTAGAGAGGTCAAATTTGAATTTGTTTTTAAGAAAAATCACTATTATTTTTACAAGGGAAAATTTATCATGTCAAAAATAATTATTTCTCCAAAAAGGTCTAAAGGATTTACTTAAATAATAAGCATACGTATACATTAAAGCTATAACTTAATTTCTTGAAAAAACTGACAGGTGATTTTTCAAGAATACTATTTATTGCATAAAGTGAGGTCCACATATAGTAATGGTACGTTTTTAAAGACATTTTAGACAAGGAAGTCATTGCCCCCAAATGCTGTTGCAATGAGATTATTTCAGCATGTTAAGGATAAATCCACCAGTTTCTCCTAACCATCACCTAGGTTTCTCCCTCAAAACTGTATGTAGGGTGAAATGTCTTAGATACAGAACGTTTTATGAAGAGACCAGGGGCTACTGTGTTTGCCAGTGCTGCAGGCTAAAGGAACATGCCTCATTGCTCCCTGAAGTCAAAGCCTTAAGAATGCTGATCTGCCGTGTGCTTGCTGGAGCTTTCATTTTATGTTTTTCTGAAAGAAAACCTTGCAGTATTAAATTAACATTTTTTCAACACTTAGCTAATCTTTTGGGCACAGTCAATAGAGGGTCATGAAATTTTCAAAGTTACAAGGAAGCCTGGAGATTGTTCAGGCCAACTCCTTCATGTACCAGAGAAGGAGGTGAGATCATCTATCAAGGTCTAGAACAATCTGAGAAGAAGAAAAGCCAGAAAAACATTCCACTTAAAAAAATTAAAAAAAAAAAAAAAAAAAACAAATCATGGTATCTAAGCAACCATATTACATCTGGCTTGTATGAAAAGAAAAATGGCATCTGTTTTTGAATAAGGCAACAAAATGTGTGAGGAAAAAAGACCTTAAATTGCATAGCTCAGAATCTGACCATAAATGAACAACAAAGATGTTCCTCACTAGATTGTGGATTTTATTTTATTTATTTTTAAAGAAAATGGAATTTTTATTAATATCTTTTTTTTACATTCTACGATGCCATTGTGGAGCAGTTGGCAGGGAGGAAGAGAGGGAAAAGGGGAAGGAAATGGGATGGAAGGAGGAGGGTGGAAGACAGGCGGGATTGAGGCCTATGGCACCCCCCTCATTCCCACAGGGGAGACCAGGGGGCTTCCAGTGGTGGCTTTAGACCTCGGATTTTAAAATCAAATGTGAAGGATGAAGCTGGTGTGAAATTTAACACTGGAACAATTAGGGATTTTGAGATTAAACAGATAATTCTAAATTGCTTAAAAAGGACAAAAAAGCAGGACTAAGAGACTGAGGCCCTTCACAGTGGCAAAGACTTAGGATCAAATGGGACAACATAGTCTGTTTTTAAAAAACACGAGAGAATCACTAGCATGAAAGATTCTTACTTAAACATTTCATCATTTTATCCTTGGGGAAAAAAAGATGCACTTACTTTCATACTTTGTTTCTTTAAAAAAAATAATGAACTCAATAAAATAGCCCAGATGCGCAGCATGAGCTTCCTGGCTCTACCTTGGCAGCTGGGCACCTCACCATGTCGCCTGCAAGGAAGAGCCACCCTCTCACTCACCGGGACTCGTGAGGGCTCCCAGGGCACTGCTCGTGGTGGAGAGAGGGTTTGCATTGGTGCTGGTGGCTGAGGTCTGGGCCGCAGCTGCGGCGGCAGCCAGTGTGGCCAGATTCTGTAACTGTAAAGCATTCATGCCTGTGGGAGGGAAGAGAAATGTAACTTTAGCAGAAGGCCCACCTCTCCCAGTATCCAAACAGGAGATAGCTCACAGCATCATCAGGGCAGAGCAGAAGCCCCTGCACTCGTGTCTGTGATGGTCACCCTGCCTGGCTGGGAGGAGGGCCCTCTATCCCTCTCCTCCAAGGACTCCTCCTTCAGTTCTTAGGATACGATCTTCTATTCCTAGACACTGGGAACTAAGACAGGGACCCTGAATCCCACCTCAGCAGTCGCTTCACTGTGGTGCTGCCTTGTCCTCACCCAGGATTTTCTTCCAATTGCCTCCTCTCAATGCTGCCCAGTGAGTTAGAAAAGACAGATTTCTCTGGTTTGACTGAGTAGGGCTTGTGGACTGGTCACTTCTTGGCTGTCAAGAAACGGTGAGATCTGAGAGTAGACAGGTGGAGGAAGGGCTTCAGGGTAAACTCACAATCCTTAAACTCGACGGCCGCATGTATAAGGTATTACAGAGGAAATTACAGTTTATCAGGTAAAAGCTCTTGCTGTGAAGTCGAACTGACATGTGTTCTAATTGTGCCTCTGACTCTTTCCCAGTTGTGTGACCCTGGGAAAGTCAGTTAATTGCACCATTTCTTGATTTTTGAGTGGCAATATTAACTGAACTCTACCTCAAAGAGCTGTTGTGCAGATTAAATAAAATGATGAATGCAAATTGCTCTGGCACAGTGTAAATACCCAATAAATGCTAGCTATTACTGTTGTCATTATTGCCATGGAACTTCTCTCTTATACATGAACTCCAAAATGTGTCCATAGTAGGAACTCAATATTTGATGAGTAAAAGAATGAATGGAGATGGAAGTGTCTTACTAGTTTTATTTGTAAATTATTTATGTTTGCATTTTAAAGAGGAACTTTTTTTAACTAGAAGGTGTTTCTGACTACTGAAAATTAAGAAAATAGCAGAGAGAAATGAAAATCTGCAAGAACATGAGAGTGGGATCACCTGAAAGATTTGGGGTAATGATTTGGGGATGGGCTAGGGCCTGGTGTCTATGCCGTATGCACTTTCAATATCTTTTCTCCTTCCTCCTCTAGCTCTTGATCCAAAGGTTCTCTGAATAGTTAAAGTATTTTTCCATGATTCACTTTACAGGAAGAGAATGCACACATGAGAAGCAGGAAACAATGGTTCTTTCCTCATATAGAGGAATTTTTTGTAGAAAGACACTGGAGTTAAATAATCAGCTTAATTTACCTTCTCATACTCACATTCATTTAATAAATGTCTACTGAGCAAATTTAATCTGCTTTAGGGAGAGTGACCTGATAACTACTTCCATATGTGTTGTGGCAGGGGGGTGGATGGAGGGGCGAGAGAATATGCTAGCAACCATATGCGCAGGTCGCCAGCCACTGGCGTGGAGGTCTCAGCATAAGCATGGCTCAGAGCCTGGTTGCTGAGCTCTGCAGGAAGCACTTCTGTTGCTCTGTCCTGGCCTCCTCAACCAGGGTGTATTTCTACTCTGAAAAGAGTTCCTGATGTCTTTGCTGCAAAATCGGTTCTCATTTTGTTCAAAATGATATTCTCTCTTCTTCCAAGAGAAATCCAGACTTGCTGGCTTAAGACAAAAGCTCAAAACCCACTTATTTCGTGGAGATGCTTAGAAGTAGGACATAAGTATTTGCGGAATCCTGTGAATTCCTACAAGAAAAGTAGTCTTCTGGCAACCCTGCTTTATCAAGCAAATGCTACCGGAAACAGAGCTCTCTTGTCCTCTCTGGTCATATTTATGAGAATGTGGGTGTCAAGAAGCACTGGTCTTATTTTTTAGTTTTACTTTAGGAAAATGGAAATGGAGGGAATATGAGTGCGGCCTGACTTTCATGCAGAACCACATGGACCCAGGAAGGGTTCTCCTTCCTGAATGCAATGTGAATGTGCTTCACACTTGAGAGTGACAGGAGTACCTGGGCTGTTGAGTGTCTCATGGGGAATAAGGCACATGTGTATGAATCCATCTGTCCCCTCTTGGCCTCTTGTGACTAATGTTCCCTCTATTGTCTTAATGATGTAAACCAGATGACCAGACTACATCTCCAACAGACAGTGGGGCATACAAGGAGTTTAGCACTGAAATTAAAACCTATAACACGCATCTGGCACCGACTAATGATAGGCAGAGTATTCCAGCTCAGGCCAGAGGGTCCTCCTCCAGAATATCAATGGCCCTCCCTAGGTGGGAGCCACAGTAATGGAGCCACTGAGCTGCAAGGAGCATCATGGATGGCCTGGCTTAGCCCACTCATGGTGGGTCAGACATCAGGCGCTTGGTCAAGGCCTCACGGCCACTGGCAGCAGAGCTTCCTGAACCCCAGCAGTGCTTTCTGCTCGGCTTTCACCTCACAGCCTCCTTGAAGACGACTCAGGTTTGCATTTAATGTGAGCACTGTGTGTGTGTTATCTGCAAACTCCCCTGCTTGCTTATAACTCTTTTGTGGCTCTCATCATACCCTTCTTTGACATTTTTTATATTTTTTACCTTCACAACTAGAAACTAAGTTCGTTGAGACTATTTTGTCTTACTCATTTTCCGGTCCACCTAAACACACACACACATACATACACACACGGCTGAATATATAGTAGGTGATAGATAAATCTATGTAAGATGAATGAACAGGGTAATAAACAGTATGAGATTTTCATAAACTGCTGTAAATAATATGGTCTATAGAGTCAACCAACGTTTTAGTCTTCTCCATTCTTTGTTAGTTCTTCAGTATTTACAACAGCATTAAATATTGACAGTTTTCTCCCAACCATTAACTAATCCATTGTACAAATACTTATTAGAAGCACATTTATTCCTTATCTCACCCTCTGACATTCACTAAAGTTCCTGAAGCAAAGCTGACAACAATCAGGTTTTATTTCCTCTGTCCTCTCCCCTCAAGAATCAGGGCTGAGGGCTGGTGTCCCCTCTAAATGCCCCTCCCCCTTCCCATGCTTCGCCACCTGAGAGTCTTTGAGATCCTGTTCAGTCTTTCTCTGCTGCTACCTAGAAAGGCCAGTGGCATGATTAAGGCTCTGGGGTCCACATGAGGGGCTGGCTAACAGTGTTCAACAATCACACCACAAGGAAAGGAAAAGTTAGGATCCAAGGAAGCTGAGATGAATAGTGGAAAGAAAGAGGCCACCGTGTTCCCTAGCATCTGAGGGATCTCAGAGACAAGGAAGAGGGGAAGGGTTAGACAGAACCAGTCAGGCGGGAGGACCCATACTTGCCAGCCTGCTTGGCTGGCCATCCATCCATCTATCCATCCATCCATCCACCCACCCATCCACCCACTCACCCAGTAGTTACTGAGTGGCTGTGATGGGTCAGACCCTATGCAAGACACTGAGAATAAAGTGGAAAACAAGACAGTCCTAGTACTCAAGGAGGTCACTGGATATTGGAGCAGGGAGAAGCCAGTGAATGGGGGAATTGGGGCGGAAATCCATTCAGTTCATCAGTTGTGGCACATAGGCCCAGGTTCAGAATCAAATTTCTCACTAAAGTGTTTGACTTGATAGAGATGAGAGAAGCACAGAAAGCACTGGCTGGCCGAGGAGATGAAGCATGTGTCATAGTGGAGGACAACCTGTCCCTCCTATCCTGCCTCTTTGATGGTCCTTGTGTGCTGACCCATGACACCAGAGGTGGGGAAGGGCAGCTCACCTGCCAACTTTTCTGGGCTGGGGCCCCCATTCCCAGCCCTGATCCTCACATTCCTTCTTCTCCCAATGCAGGGCCGGCAGAAGCATCTTTCTCCATTCTGTCCTGTGTTCCTGGGCTTGGAATGCACAGTGTTCTCTGCCGGTGACAACAGCAGCAACAACCGCACTTCCTGGAGCAGCACGGGCTGGTTAGGCAGAGCATAGGCTCCGCTCTCAGATGACTTGGGTTTAAATCCGGCTCTGCCTCGACTCCTGCCAACCTGTCTCACCTCAAGCCACCATGTAACTGTTTGTGCCCTGGGGTTCTCAACTGAAAGGGGAACTAAAATAGAACCTATCTCTTGAGGGTTAAGAGATTAAATGCATTAATAACATGTAAAGCTCCAAGAACAATGCCTAGCGCAGAGTTAAAATCAAAGAGTGCGCTCTCTTAGCTAGACTAATAACTGCAATAATATCACCTCAAATGATGATGGTAATGGTAAAGAGAATAAAGCACAATCCAGGCATGCCTCAGTGCTTTTTGTGTGGTCTCTTATTTAGTATTCATAACACATCCCTATGGTGTAGGCTTTATTATTACTGTACATGTTACAGATAGAGGAAACTGAGGCACGAAGAGGTCAAAATACCATTTCTCACTCTCCAAGGGCCACTCCCTGAAGGAATGGTCCTGGGTAAACATGAGGAGATCTTCTTTGTTTCTCGTCTGTCCTCACCCTGCCAACCTGGCCTCCCCAGCCAGACCTTTCTTGTCTTTTCTGTCCCATCTGGGTATGGTCTGCCCTCCTCCTCCTCCTCGTGTCTTGGTCTCCATTCACTTCATTAAACTTTGCACCTTAGAGAAATTTAATAGGGACCAGGAGGGAGTGTGAGGGAGGGAAGAGGTGGGACAGCACTGGATTTTGGAAGGAATTGGGGCCTGGGCAAGAAGTCAATGTTTATCGGCTCCCTGCATTTACCTAAGGACAGCATAAGCAGATAGATGAAAGCTGCCAGGGGAGGCCTGTTAGTCCAGCACAACCAAACCTAAGTTCTGCTTAGAAGAAATGCTGGGCCCAAAAGACAGCGTTTTACAACACTGCTCCCAGCTCAGTTTATGGGGCCTGAACCCCAGGAGGCAGGGACTGAATTGGTGATCTTGTTTTCATTAGCAGCTAAGAACTGAGTTAACCAGTAACCACTGTGCAACTGTGTACTACATACTGTTTTCTAAATTACATAATCGATTCTTTTATTTCCTAACGTGACTTCCTTTTGCATCTATTACCAGAACCCCAGCTACCCCAGA